AATATTGTAGGCGCCGAAAACATTAGCCTATCCAACGCTGCTAGGCCTAGCCTTACCTCAATTTAGGTTCTGTTATCACACATAAAAACGGCCGACATGATATTTTCCATTGCTAGTATTGACACTTGTGAATATAATATTTCATAGGAATTATTTCAAATTTGTTAAAAAACTGATTCTGACTGAGATTTTGACACTTAAACAAACATATCTCAGCCTAACCGAACGACCGCATTGTGCGAGATGTGAAGTACAAAAACTAATCTCATTAGAGAGGGCGCACTTTATTGACTGTATAAAGTATACATAGAAGCGGGAGTATTCCAGTGGATGCGATCTACAACCTCTGAATTTGCCTAGCGATGAATTCGTTGAGAAAATGGTAATATTTTATGAGAAATAGTCTGTATTTATCATTTTTTTTATTCTTTTGCGTAAAACTAAAATTCATGCCAATATTTTTCCATGATTTATAATAATTGGAGTAATGCGTCTGTTTTTCTAAAAAAAGTCAGTTTTTAGTGAAATTTTGCCGGGAATGGGGCTTTAAAATAATACTTGACAATTACTAACATTTATCTGATTTAATAATTTTTATCAACTTATAGATTCTAAGTATAATAAATTATATTGAATCCCAAAACTCTAGGCCTAATTGCAAGCCTTCAGACAACGCGGTGGCCAGCGGGGAAAACATCGTTTACCCCGTGTGTAGCCGCCGCAAATTAACGAGAGCGCCCTCTATTCATACGAGCTGAGCCTAGCTGCGGTACGTGATAAGACAATAGAATTTTATGCCATCTATTTCAATTAATATGCTCACAAATATAAAACTTACTTATCTTTATAGTTTAAAAATTGAAGAAAACAAACATGTTAACCAAAAAACTAGCGAAGGTTTCCTTTTATTATTGAAAATCAACGAAACATTGGTTGTACTAAAAAAACTTCTACTATATCGATTCGCACGCTTAAAAAGCTAATACTGTACCTTGATCCAGAAATCATTTCTGGAGTGTTATCTGGAAGTAATTCGGTCAAATTGGTGTATACTTCCGCGAAATACCCAATTAATACATTGGATATCCTATCTCCGTCAGGGCACTATTTTCTATCGCGATGTTTGTATTGCCGATCTATAGCGCCCTCTATCGGTTTTGTATCTAGTTAGTAGGCCTATACCATGGCATGTGGGCCACAATGACTGTGGGGCATCCCATGGTTCATGGCATGGATGGGCCTCTAGCCTAGGCCCCAGTGGGTTTCTGGACAAAAGGGCAATAAACCAAAACAGCAATAAGTCAAAACGACAATGACCAAAACAGCAAAAACCAAAACGGCAACACTTTCTGACCAGAACGGCAATAGCCCAGAACGGCAATAGCCCAAAACGGCAATAAGTCAAAATGGCAAGACCAATACGATGCTAAACAATTTATTCCATAAAAGTAAAAACGCTAAAAAATAAACTAATTATAAACATGAAAGTGTCAATACGATTAAATTTGGTAAAAATGAGGCTAAATAGCAGCAGCATTAATAGTCAATTAACAATAATAATAATAATAATAATCATAATAAAAATAGTCATACAACTTCAATATTAAAAAGATTGGGGGGTGGGGGAAGGAATGATATAAAAGCAGTAAAAAATTTAAATAAATAAATCTTTCAAATACAGACATAATGAGGCTTAACAATTTATGTCATAAAGTAAAAAAATGCGAAATAACAATATTAATAATATTAAACATTAAAAGCGGGAAAAAGAGCCCATGGCAATATTCCATTTGACTATTGGGACAGTTTCAAAACAATTCAGAAAATTATAACTGTGGCCCGCGCACACTGGCGCTTGCTAGTCTTGGCATTGATTTCACTCCTTTGCCATTACGGTCTATGCCATTTTGGTACTTGACATTGCCGTTTTGGTCTGTTGCTGTTTTGGTAATTGTCATTGCCATTTTAGTTATTGCCATTTTGGTCATTGCTGCTATCCTCCAGTGTCTAGGCTAGTAGAGGCCTAGCCTAGGCACTAGGCAGGCCTGCCACTCCTCTATAATTATAGTATAGGCCTAGTTGGTGGAGGTCTGAGTTGGTGTATGGGCAGAGTCGGTTATGGGCCGAGTTGTTTAAGGGTTGAGTTGAATAAAGGGTTGAGTTGATTAAGGGCCAAGTTGATAAAAAGGTTGTTGGTGT